TGGTGCTGTTTTAACATGAAAAACCAAATCATAGCATTTAGAAAATGCTGAGATAGCACATTCATTTTGCCTGCTGCTGGGTTTTTTCCCCCTCAGATTGCTCCCCAGTGATTTCCCCAGATGCAGGGGTTCAGCAAACTCTTCCCGAACCCCGATGTCTTGGGGGGGCGGATGGCATTTGCCCTCCTTTGGCGGCTGCAGGGCTCTCACCCAGAAGGGTGCCCAGGGGAGGCGGGAGCTGTGGCGGGCGATGGCACCCCTGCCTGGAGGACGATGGCACCCCTGCCCAGGGGACGATGGCACCCCTGCCCGGGGGGTGATGGCACCCCCTGGCTCAGGGGTCCAGGCTGGGGACCCGCCAGCCCTGGGGGGGTTCCCCTTTGTCACAGCCGTGGCAGGGGGCTGGGGGCACAGGAGGGAGCATCTTTGCGTAGCTCTCACGTGTATTTTTAAGGTAATTGGAGCCAGTCATCGGAGTCTGGGTGATGCCCAAAATTCCGTGTAATCTTGGAGTCTGGGTGCTCTTCCCAGAAAATGCTTGTGAACATTTACACTGATACAAACCCAGTGCAGGTGTGTTCAGTCCCCTCCTCTGATCCAGGGACAGACGGCAACATGGGACCCGACTTTTCCAGCTGGGACATTCAGGGAAATGCCTGGTGTCAGAAGAAATACCGTTGGCCAGGGAGGTTTGATGACTGACATCATTGCCAACCAGAGCGATGCTCGCCCTGCCAGGGGACAGAAACCTGTTCGGATAGGAACAAACCAGATGATGCCTGCCCAGGCAAAGCTAAGCAACCCAGATATAGATCCAAATTTCATATAGGGGTAGTTAAATAATCAAAATGAAGTACAGTGGGATTCGGTTGTTATTCAGCATATAATTAGAACAAAGGAAAACGGGCAAGAGCTCCCATTTGCAGCATCAAATACATTACTGGCCAGGCTTTCAAACCAACAGACTATTGCGACTCACATCCTTCTGTGAGTCTCTTTTTCATCTCGCCTCTGCCTGTGCTTAATCCTGCCGCTCATGGTTAGCCGCACAAGGACCTGCTCCAGCTCCCATGGGCTGCATTGGCAACCCCCACGCTGGCTTCAGTCGCAGCAAACCCAAGCTGTAATAGCCTTGATCACGGGTTTCAGGAGGTGAGCCTTGAGGAGATAACAGCACAGAGACAAAAACCTCTGGCAATAGGATAGAAAATTTGTTGATGTAGCCGTGGCACTTGCTTTGTAGCTGAAGTGCAAATTAACCGCTCCCGGTTCTCCCTGCGACGTCCCAGTGAAGGTGAACATGCTGCTGCAGGAACATCTTGTGGCCCAGGGCTTAGAAACTAGGCAGTGAAAAGAGACAGAGCACTTGGGTAGTTATCAAGGAGACGTGTCCACCTTGGGTGACGGGGACCCTCTAGATGGAAACCCACCAGCAAATGCGGCTGGAACAACATAAGGAGCTGCCCCAGCAAGACTCATTGGCAGTGTCCTGCCATGGCCCTTGGATGTTACTTAAACCTAAGGGACATTTGCTCTGCTGCAAGAGAGGCTTGCATGGGAAAAAAAAAAAAAAAAGGCATTAATTAGCTGTTTCCCACAAAGTGTTTTCATCAAAGGCACAAAAATAATAACTAGTGCCTCAGTGTTAAGTGAACCCATTAAAGTTAATTGAGCAATGAGTAAAGCAGCTTAATGCCCTCCTCCTGATGTGTCTGGCTTTTCATATTCATGGCACCACGTAATCTTTGGGCTGGTGGTTTTGGTCCGCATCCAAGCTGCTTCCCAACTTACCTGGCTTGGTGCCTCGGCTCCCCATCTCCTTGACCCCCGAGGAAGCCCATCCTACTGCGTTCGTGGGTAAATTGTCCCCTTTCCTTTCACCCCATGAGGACTATCAGATGCTTACGCCAGGCGAGGTAACGCAATAGGAGGAGCAGAGGCAGCGTAATGAATATAAACACCTCAATGTCCGATCTCCCACCACCTCCAAGGCACAACGCTCCTTTTGCTCCTAGGCAGGAGAAATTCAAGTACCGATTAATAGTTGTTCGGAGCTGTTGCAGAGGCGACACACCTAGCAAGATGTAGGCTTTAGCAGCAGGCTGCAGCCAACTCCCCGGCCAACGAGGCATCTTCTCACGGCAGGGGAGCGGCTCTGGCTGGTTTTTGGGTACCTGCACCGGGGATGCTGAAGGCAGAGGCAGGGCAGAGGCAGCTGTGATGGCCTGAGGGATGACGTGGTTGGTGGGCTGAGGGATGGGGTGGCTGATGGTGCAGGGGCAGATCTAGTGGAGGTATTGCAGCCCTTCCAGCCCCGTCCTGCGAGCAAAGCACTTTCCTGCCGACGCACCCATGAGAGCAGACTAAGTGGGGGGCACAGCAAGGAGTGCATACACAGAAAATCATGCGTTAGGGTGTTAAAGGAAGGCCAGGAGGGTGTGTTCTGAACAGAGAGAGAGGGGGCATGTTTTTGAGGAGTTTAAAAACACAACAAATCTTATTCAGCAGCAGCTTTAAGTTCCCCATAAAACACTCGTGTGTGGGAGGACTCCTGCTCAGGAAGGGCAGCATCATATGGTCATCATATGGCAGCATCATTTTGGGAGCTTGACCCCAGCGCAGCACCACCCCAGGCGAGTGCCCTACATAGGGGCTCCAGAGACGAGCCTGCACCTTGCGACGCTCAAGCATGCGATTCCCACCCCAGCGCTGCAGCAGCAGCCCAAGGGGAGACTGCCGCCCCATGAAGCCCCACGGGGTGCGAAGCTCCGAAACCCAAACTGGGAAAACTGGGTTGCTGGTGGAACCAAGCTAGCGAGCAAACGCTCACTCTAATGGATGTGCAAGGGACAGGCGTTGAGTTCGCAGATCCCTTTTGTTTGTCTTTGAGGGTAGAGAAACGGGGAGTTTCGGTGATAGGAACAGCTTCGGCTGCCTCCCTGGAGGACGTGGCCAATGTTTATGCTCCTCCCTTGGTTTCTCCAACAGATGGTGTGAGCCTCAAGATGATTGAAGACCTGAAGGCCATGGTTGACAACATCTCTCAGGAGGTTGCTCTACTGAAGGAAAAGCAAGCACTCCAGACAGGTAAAGGACTCGCTGAAGAAGGCATGGCTTTTGTTTTGAGAGAGGAGCTGCTTATAAAGCGGCTACAATTGCTCCACACGCTTTAACAAGTGATGCCCAAGCGCCCTGCGACAAGGAGTCCATCACAGGGAGAGAAGTTGGGGGATCAAAGCAAAGTTTGGGCTCACTGCAATTCCTCCAGGCAGATGAAGCTCCTCAAGCAGTTAATGACGTGAGTTGTGCAGCGTATGGCCCCCCTCTTTATGTGCTAGAGCTTCCTATTTGTAAAGCTGTGGAAATTTCTATGACACTAAGCCAGATGTTCATTTTCCTTTATGAATCAGAGGGATGGGTAATGGATTATTCTGTACTTCAGTCAAATGTAGCTTACTCTTTTGTCTGATCCCCAGTGAAATGGTGACCTGGTCTCTTATACATACCATGGCATTGCCCAGGGAACCTCATGGAGGTCAGTCCCACCATGCTTCAATGAACTTATACAGAGGACAGTCCTAAAATGTCCATCTTCCAGCCATGCTCCATGGTTATTCTGTGCAAACTCCACCAACATCAGTAGGAGAGGGATTTGCAGAACACGAAACAGAAATGAAAATGCAAGTTAAGGAGAATTTTCTCCTTAAAAGAAAAGGAACACAAGCAAAATCAAGGCTTTAGTTCCAAGCTCACATTCATTGGTTTGGATATTAATGCGTGGCTCTGATTAGTTATTGTTTGGCTACAGTACCCTGCACTCTCAGGGTTTAGAGCTTAAAAAAAAAAAAAAAAGTGCTATTCTTAACAATAAACTCAGAGGCAAGTAGAAATTTCCTCTGAAGACCTCAAGCTATGCAAGCACAACGTTTCTGATCAAAGCCTATTAAAAAAAAGACATTTTTCTCATGCTTGCATAATTAAGATGATCGAATTGAAATTGCAGACTTTTTTCCAAAAACACTCCCAACACCCGGCAGCGCCCGTCACAAACCTTACCTCCAACAAACTCATCAGAGAAAGCGCAGCAGCAGCTGGGGAAGAGGGAGGCCAGGGGAAGGGGTAGGAGGACCACGCTGTGCCTCTGCTCCGGCAGCGGCAGAGCCCGGGAGGGTGACAGGGGCACCCCGAGGTCCATTCTTCCCGATGGTTTGGCAGACGGGGAGGGCACGTCCCGGCAGCCGTGCCCTGCGGAGGAGGGAGAGGGCCCCTGGGACTGCCAAGAGCCGCTGCGCAGCCTCAGAAATGACGTTTGAAGTTTGGCCGCTGCGTTTGCTGCTGCTGCCTCTTCCTGGGCGCTGTTTTTAAAACCGATTCCCTTTCTGTCTTTTTGTTCTGTTTGTGTGGTAACCTCTCAGTTTGCCTGAAAGGCACCAAAATTCACCTAAAATGCTTTCTTGCGTTTTCGGAGACCAAGACGTACCACGAGGCCAGCGAAAACTGCATCTCGCAGGGCGGCACGCTCAGCACCCCCCAGAACGGGGAGGAGAACGATGCCCTCTACGACTACATGCGCAAGAGCATCGGCTCCGAGGTGGAGATCTGGCTGGGCCTCAACGACATGGCGGCGGAGGGCAAGTGGGTCGACATGACGGGCGGCCCCGTCCGCTACAAGAACTGGGAGACTGAAATCACCACCCAGCCCGACGGCGGCAAGCTGGAAAACTGCGCGGCCTTGTCGGGGGCCGCCGTCGGCAAGTGGTTCGACAAGAGGTGCAAAGACCAGCTGCCCTACGTCTGCCAATTCATGATTGTGTAGCGGCGGGGGCTCCCCCCTGCCCACCCGCGACCCGGGTCTTCCCCCTTTGGCAGCAGGATTATAAAGCTATAGGTATGTGTACATGTACGTATGCACGCACACGCGCACATGTTCAGGTAGAGTCACTCTTTGCAAAGAAAGTCGTCATGGCTCGGATTCGGATTAGAGAGCATTAGAGCATTTCGTTTGGCCACATCCAACCCCGTTAGCAGCTGCATCGTTCTTACTAAGGCACGATTTATAGATATATTTTTTTACACAGGGAATTTATTAGGACGGCTCGGTTGTTTCGGCAAAGAACCAGTCGGCAGTCCAGCCTTGCAAACAGCCGCCTCGGCTGCCCGGGGCTGTCGCTCTGCAATGTCCTTTCCCATCTTGCTGAGCTTTGTTGGGGCGCCAGCAAAGCTAGTTCCCGCTTTCTTCTCCTGTTTTGCTTCCCCGTAAGCCCTGGCAGCAAGGCACACGGGATTGAGCTCCTCGTCCCTCACAGCGCCCCGAATCAGGCTCCTGGGGATCGAGGTCCTGTCTCAACGAGCAGAGGGAGTTACCTCTGCTTTGCTTTGAGAGGTAAAATTGGGCTTATTGGCTGAGTACCAGCTGCTCAACGGGCTGCCCGACTCATCCAACTGTGTGCATGAATGAATTAGCAAGTAACAGGCATGGGTCGACTTACTGAGAAGGAGGGTGTCCCTTCCAGAAGCATTCCCCATTTTGTTGGTCCTTTCCTCATCAGTCAGAAGCCAATGTTTCACTAATTTCACTGGGAGAGCTAGACCTTCTGCCAGATCTTTCCAAAAATCCCATCAGAAGCTTTATTTATTCTCCAGCATCACGGAGGAAGCAGTGATGACTTATAGCATAGTCAGTCAAATATATTCTTGGAAATAGAAGATGAAAGTATTAGGTAAATAACAGAAATGTAATGCTATTAAGGAATCTATTGAAAATGACCCCAGGACAACTCACTGTAGCAGCTTTAGGAATCATCTGACCTATTTTAGTGATGGAAACCCAGCTGAAATACTCCAGTCCTTGTTGGTCTAGGCACAGTCCTCAGCAAACATAAATCTGCTGAATACTGTTTGTGCCAATAAAGTCAGGGCTAGCTGAAGGTCTGGCCTCAATAATTTTTTGCTGAGAAAAGGGTTAAAGAAAAAAAAAATTGAAATAAACAGCAATGATGGGAAAGAAGTACAGGTCACCCTGACAGCTTAACGAAGCTTTGCCGACGCTGATTTGCTGGCTGTTGGCTGAAAGGTATCAGTAGTTCTTTGCAGCAGTGCGTGGTAATAACTCCTCCGGTTTGGGGCACGTCCCCTGCGCTGCGCTGGGGGTGTCAAGACATGATGCTCTTGGGGAGCCCACGGGAGAGGTATTTCAATTTGCTGCTTTATTTAAAAAGAGCACAATGGTGGGCATTCCAAGACGTTGAGTGGGAGAACCTCGCTGGAGGGATCGAAACAAACACAGAAATGCAGAGTGCATACTTCCGAGGCTGTCACTATTGCCAAACTCTCCGCTGTTCAAATGACTATAAAATAAAAATATATATAGCTTGCTGAAGGAGTGGAGTTGCGTCAATGTGATTGGAGTGCTTTCTTCTCCTTGCATTTCCCTTCAGAGCAGCTCCAGGGACCTGTCAGAGAGTCGGAGATATCAAAGGCAGAGGGGAAAATCAGAAAGCGAGAGCCTCCCGCCCTGGGATATGGTTTATAGGATTTCCACCCCCCCCTTATCATCCCAGTCACATGCCACACGCGGGATACAGGCAGGGAATCCTTTTATAGGCAAATAAGATTTCCTTCCTCCCCTCCTCTTGCTGCTGGGAAATGTCACTGCAAAATACGAGCCAACCCAGAAGAAAGGTCCTTCCCTCACCCCCGTTCGGCAGCGGTAGCGGTGCCGGGGGAGGTGGCACCTCAGGTCCCAGCGTGGAGCCAGCACTTCCCAGGCTGCCTCCCACCTCCTCCGCAAGGAGCCGAGCTGCAGCGGCACCGAGCATCCCTCTTCTTCTCACACTGAGGTGGTGACAACTTCTCCCTCCTCATCCTCCTCCTCAGCATCCCGCAAAGGAGAGAAGACCATACATGAAGAAGGCAGTGCTCCACACCAGTCTGGGAGGTTTCAACTGCTGCAGAACTGCACGTGAAATTAGGTCTCCTTTGCACAAGAGGACAGCCCTTTCCAGACTCTGGGCCCTGATCCTGAATGTTTCCAAGGCTCTTCTGCTGTAGGTCATGGTTACGCCCTACAAGCCAGCTTGTCTCGATATAAACCCTCTAGTTCCCTTGGCAGATGATCCCTCCATGTTTTGAGATACACATGAATGCAAAGCAGCAAAGCCGACAGCGTTGCTGGCTTTGATCCTGACTGGTCATAAACCACAAGGTCTTAAAACACAAATGTGTGGTCAGAGAAATAAAAAGAAGGCTTTTATGGGAGCCCAGGAACCAAAGAGGGGCACTGCGAAAGCCAGAGACCCTGGCGATGCTGAGCTTCGGGGAAGATGTGGGTGCCGCAGCTGGACCATCTCTCTGCATGGAGTGCGAGTCCGAAAAACAGCCGTGGAGGTCGAGGCCAAAGGATATTCCCAGAGAGGACGTTAAGGAGTCAATCTGTCAAAATCTAGAAAATAACAAGTTGCTTTCAGCAGATTTCTTGCTCGTATCTCTCTTGCTCCCTATTTTCACATAGCTACGCTCCTGCCAACACCATTCTTCACAGATGTTTTGCTCTTCTGAAGCTGGGAGGAGCGCGGGGAAGGGGTGGCTTTGCTCCTGCCCTATTTGTTGGACCCAGGATGCCAAAACTGACCTTGCAGCTTCAGGGTTGCATTTATGAGTTTAATATTTTTCTACATGTTTCTTCTTACTGTACATCATGAACTACAAATTTTCTTTTAAAAGCCAAAGAAAAAGAAATTCTGGGAGAGTCCTCATCCTTGCTTACCACAGCGCTCTTTTTTTATTTGTTTGTGGCCAACCCCGCATTTTGTGCTTACAGTGAATGCCGGGATGGAGGGGTTGAACGGGGACGATGGCTGCCTCCACTCCAGCGTGGCCCGATGGGAACTGCCCGGAGCAGATGGGGTCCATCTGCTGGGGGCTGGGACAAGCATCACTTTTTTGATCTTCCATTAAATCTTTTTGGCACTCAAGCCAGAGAAGAACATCTGCTGTCCCCAAAGCGCAGTCTCAGCCGAAGACATGCAGACTAATGGAAAGAAAACTCAGCTCTTCCCTAAGAAAAAGAAATGTGGAAGTGATCACGTCTGAACCAACATATAGCGGCGCCTGCAATCTCAAATGAGCCTCGTGTTATTAAAATAGGAGATGTTGTGTAAGATCTTGTGCCACTGATCGCGCCGCTCAGCTGCCTGTGGCTCTGTAACACAGCAGAGGAAAGATGAAACATGAAATGCGCATATATTTGTATAAACAAAAGAAGAAAAGTCACTGGGTGAGCCCACAGAAAGTGTTACCCCAGCACTGCGCCATCCACAGCTGACTTCAGTAGAGCTACGCTAATCTACCCAACTGATTGCCCTGACCCCAATTCACCAAGGTCCTGAAGTACAGGCAAAGGACCGAATGGTTAAAAGTAAAATGGTTAACTGTAAAATGGTTAATCCCTTTCTGAAGTATCCCTCTGAGCAAGGGCCAGAACAGCACACTATTAACACATGTCAGCGTCCCGGCCAGCCGCCAGCTTGCTTTTGGCTTCGGTCAGTAAAAGGGGCAGGTAGGCAAAGGTGGGTAAGAATTTGGGAGTCAGAAGCCAAAAGCCTCGAACACTTTTGTGGGACTTGATCCTTAGCAGTCCTGGGTAAATTCAGATCAAGAGAGTTCAGTGACATGGGAGAAGGACCCCAAGCAGAGAGAGGGAGAAAATTCACACTCAGAACAAGCAACCCAACCCCACGCCTCTGCTCCTTGCGCCTGTCCGCTCAGCCTGGGGGTTACTCAGACCCGAGTCTCTCACCCTGTCAGGTGTGGTCTCTCCCCATCATCTTTTGCAAGGGACGGCTCCCAAACACTTCTGCTCCTGCCTGCCCCCAGGGGAAGGTACTTCCCACCTCTGGCTGTGGGACGAGACCATCGGTGGGGTGCACCCCAAAAGGGAAGGAGCACCTCCACCCCTGCACCGCTGAGCCTTGTTATTCCTATAGCCTTTACTGTTTGGTCCCGCTCCTACGGAAGCAATGAACCCCACTTCAGTACCTGACCTCTCAGTCTCTCCTTTTGCAAATAAAATAAAAAACTAAATTAAAGTTACATTTCTCCAGCTCAGAAGCCGCCATAGGCAGGGAAAAAACACGGATCTGTGAGGATCAGCAAACAAGGATAAGACCAACGACCACTGGGAGCATAAATACAAAAGATTTGGGGGTCACTACACTGATGAAAAGCATGAAAATAATCTCCTTGGGGGTAGAAGATAAAGCAGGGGATGAGAGAATATCAAACTACGGTGTACACAGAGAAAAAATAGTGCTTTATTCCCTAACAACATCCAAAAGTATCTCCAGTTTAGAAGTACCCGGAGGGAATCCAAAGGTAACAACTGGGGACTGTTGCAAATACAGCTAAAACCAAAATCACCTTAGCCGTGACTCGCACCCAGCAGCCTCACCGCTCTGTCCTGCTCTGTGCAAACAGGTCGGTGGCTGCCTCACCTCCCTGCAACCTCCCGCCCGCCCGCTCCTGCTAGAGGCTCGGGCCGTCACTGCTGGTGGTGACTGTAAGGCACCCAGTGCCTGCAGCCTGGGCGCTCACTAACCAGCGCTGTACCCTCAATATCCAGCCTCACCCCAGGAAGGAGACAAAAACCTACAGATGACCGGGCTGCCGAGAGGTGAGGCCAACTGCTAATTGCAGAAAATATTTGCTTTCGCTTCAGCCCTGTTAGAAAGCTAACCCTGAACCCCTTGAAGAGAACAAAACACACAAGCTGCTTGCCAACCTTGCAAGCCAGCAATGAAGAACACGTCTCAAGAAGCT